GTCCTGCATTCAAAATGTTACAAGTAAAAGTAGAAAAGTATTATCATCAAAATATAGTTAAAGTACCACCTGCAGAGGGATCTAGATTCAGGTGTTCTTTTCCCCATAGAGACCGGCTCGCTGCACATTATCCCTTGCATAAAGATAGATTGTGGGTCCCTTATAACATGTACACAGTGGAAATAAACATTCTGGTCACCATAACATCAGGGATCTTAACCATTAAACTCCTTCTGAATCAAACCGTCACGGTAGCCTTACCTTACTGATCCCTCTTAAAATAGAAAAAAACACGTTACTTTACCAGCAGAGAGAAAATGGATTATTAAATGATTAATGTGACTAATAAAGAGCAGTTTGATTATTAAGTATTATTCTGTTGATCGATGTCATTACATTTGTTGAAAAGCACATAAGGACTTGTTTAAGACTCGTTTTGTCAAAGTTTAGGACTTGGACTTGACTTGAACTTGCCCATCCTGACTTGAGACTTGACTTGGACTTGAGCGCAAAGACTTGAGACTTGACTCGGACTTGAGCGCAAAGACTTGAGACTTGACTCGGACTTGCAAAACAATGACTTGGTCCCACCTCTGGTTTGCAGTATTGTGTAATGCAGCTCAATATAACGGCAGCAAAAATCTATATGTTGAATCACCACTAACAGTGAAACATTACAATGTGAAGGGTTTCTTTTTCCCCATTGCACCACAATCGATTCCATAATGGCTCCAATTGAACATCAAGTGTTGTAATTTGCAGTTTAAAGAAGTAACGTATTCTGTAAATGAAATAAGACGATACTATTTGCCTATCGTTCATGTTCAAACCATGCATGAGACATTAGCTGTCTCATCACGGTCGCCTACACTGCACAAGAACTCTCTAAATGCCATTTGGCACCTGATCAATGAACATGTTGAGGCAGTGTGTTTTGAGAGAGTATTTCAATTGACTTTTTTACTGCACCGTAGGGGATATAAGTCCGACTCAATGAAGGGCTTTGGCGGTTTAACAGACTCTGATTTACCACTCTGCGTTCAACATTTCCTCGTCAAAGGATGAAAACTTGGATTTTTCTGCGGCTGCCGTAGCTTCAAGCGTCCCTGTAGGTATTTCTAAGGTGAATGGTTAGCTCACCATATGGGTTGTTATTTGCAAGACTCTTTGAGACGGAATGAGTAAATAAAAACATTACAGTCTGTCTAAATTCACGATCCCAAAGGGGAAAGAATAAGCAATGTGCAGCTTTCTGAACATTGAGACAGAAATATTTATTCATTCATCCGTTCACATATTTTATAGGAAAATATCTCAGTGGCCCTAGGACTAATTTACTGCAGGAAATAGTATAATTAGAAGCAATTTAAGCACATGTTAATGACATGATGATGCACGGTTTGATTGAATAGGATTTATTGGTTGCAGTTTGCAGACTCACCAACTCAACAAGTGACCACCCATTTAATTTTCTTTTGGCATAAACCCTTGTCATATTGGCATTTTTTATGTGCTGTGTCAGCTGTTTTTGTAGTTTATTCAAGAGGCGCGTTCACACCGGAGTACTTTTACCTGTACTTTTCCCGTTTAGTTCCTATAGTGCCTGGAATTTTGCGTTCACACCAAAAAAAGTACTTAGTTCCGAGAACTTTTACCCCCATTTTTAGTGCCTGCTAGAGAGGTGGTACTATCCTGGGGAGAAAAAAGTACCAATTTCGATTGGCTGGGCGAATTGCAAACCACGCCCCGTAAAACTCTGAAAGGTTGTGTGAAGCCGCCATTGTATTTGCTGGCATTAGCATTATTAGCATTAGCATTAGCCCCGCCCACCAACGGAGAGAGAATAACTTATGGCAACACAACAAAAAACATGGGAGCGGTGGAGTGATGAGGAGGTGTCGGTGTTCTGGCGATTTATTCGGAAGGCTTCAGTAGAAGCTGCTGGGAGTCCCAGCAGCTTCTACTGAAGCCAGTACCCAACTCCGGGGACTTCCGGCCGGGAACTTCGGGTGGCAGTATACGCCGTGAAGTGGTTTGCGGCCTGCCAGTAAACCCAAAGCAGAAGAATAAGAAGTGACGTCAGCGGCTTCATTTGCGTAATCTTCCCTCAGGGAACTTATTCCGGTGTGAACGCGATCTGTACTTAGTTCCATGGGGGCACTAATGGCGCATTTCCACTACAGGGCCTCACTCGGCCTCGGTATGGCTAGGCCTCGTTAGGCCTTGTTAGGACTGGCTCACTTTATGCTGCGTTTCCATTACAGTTTAGTAGCTGGGCCAGTAACTATAGTAACGCAGTGTAGGCGGAGCCGTGACGTCATCTTCAATGAGAACCACAGAAAAACAACATCAGCCGTTATCTGTTAGCACTCAAGCTCACAGCTCCTCATATCTGTTCAGAAACTAGACAAAAGTTAAACAAGTACAAACCACAGACTGTCTGTGTCATGGTGAATACAGTCGCTGGTTTATTTATGTCTGTATAGGCTGTTGTTGTGAGTGTGGACGGTCGGAGCATGTACTGCGTTAGCTTAGCCGATCTCCATTTAGAAAACACGCATTTTAAACGTTTTTTTGGCTGCTGTCTGTCTGCAGACTTGTCAAAGCATTAATTCATGGTTTTTACTAACCGGCATCAGTATGTTGTTACTTCGGCATCATTTTGAAACGTGTATTACAATTAAATCACGGTCAAATATGTTCATTTTGTTGTAGTTGTAGCCCCCTTGCCAGTGATTCTCTCTCTAGTTTAGCATACTCAGCCCGACTCAGCCCGACTCAGCCTGGTTGTTGGCCCGGAAAGAACCTCGATTTTATGGGGCCAGAAAAACTGTGAAATAGTACCCGCTAGCCGGAACTACGCAAAGTGGAAACACAACCAAAAACGGGCCGGGCACGGGACGCTTAAAGCGAGCTCCGCGCTGTAGTGGAAATGCGCCATAAGTACGGCAAAGTACTTGGTGTGAAAGCGGCTAACGAAATGCTTTTAAGATCTGGTTTTGTGAGGTTTTCATAGAGGTTGACATGAAGAGATGTCCCAAACACAGCAAAAATTTAAAAACATAAGCAGAAATCAGGGTCTCTGATACACACCACCAAACACATAGAGCTTTCACACCAACGCGATTCCCGTTCTAGCTCCGTGCTAGAGCTTTTCTGGTTCGGAACTGGTTTTTCTTTTCAGCCCCCATTTTGTTCACACCGCCCAGAGCCCGACTGGTGCTGCCGCTGCTGCGTCATGACGTCACCGTTTACGTCGCTGATTTTCTCCCCAACGGCGTTATGGCGCTCACTCTATACATCCATGCGCTCACTATAACAACAACAATGGGGGACTGCGTCGGGTCGATGATCGTGTTGCTGATCGTGTTGCTTTTAATCATACGAAGCCAGATTAAATAAAATAACGACTTCTCCAACCTTATACTCTTCTCCAGAGTGCCGTGGTTCATTGTTTATTAATGTGTTTCAGCGGCATTTACCGACAGCTGCAGTGCTGGCTGCTCTTCCACGGGAGTTTATTCTCCCGTTAGCTCCGGGTTAGCTCACACGGCTCTAAAGTATTCACTGTCTGACTGTCACACAAGCAGCTGATACATATCCCCAATTCCCCTTAAGTGAATGTGTTTCAGTCTGAATTGACGCTGTTTGGCATCACAACGCTGTTACTAAAGTTTCTCTGGTATGAAATGGGTGATGTTAGCATAGTAACCGAAGCTAAACGGACTATCTTGACTACTTGTAGTTGCTATCCTATTGCGGCATAAGCCGTTTTCTACAGGCACATTTTACCGGCGTATTTTTCATTATGATTCTACTTGTGATAGTCGGACATGACGACCTGTGCAGCCCATGTATTGATTCCATCCGATAGCTGCTATAATACAAAACAAAACGTCTGCCTGCTCTCCACAATGATCAATAACAGCGAACGGATGGTCAAAGTAAGGTACACATAAACAGAATCACACGAAGCCTGGTTAGTGTTGCCTGACTTTATAAGTGTGTGGTTGCGTTCTAGTCACTTTGCTCAGCACTACTGCTTGTTACAACTTGTATTTGCCGTACTCGCCTTTAACTGTTAGCTCAGGTTAATCTCGCCCCCTTCTGACGTAAGCGTGACGTATGCGGTTCTTGCTTCTAGACCGACAATTTTTTGGTGCTTGAAACGAACCGGATTCTGGAGCTTAGAGGCGGCTCCGCTGCGGTGTGAACAGGAAAAAACTGTGCTTTTCAGGCTCTAGCTCCGAACCGGCCCTGGAACCGCGTTGGTGTGAAAGCCCCAATAGTGAGTCATTGGTGATTATTTAGGTTTTATTTTTGTTTTAGTGTACATTTATTGTACTCATAGTGGCTTCAATTCATCATTTATTTGTGGTAAAATATGATATACACACATGAGGCCTTGACCTGTGAATATATTGAACAGTTATCATTTTTATAATAATAGAAATGACTAGTATACAGTAGCTTCTCATAACAGCACACCTATACGTTATGTGTTTTCATACAACATAATATAAACCCTGCATTAATGATGGGTATCTTGGCACCAGGGTGGCTGATCATAATAGAAAAACACGTTTTTCTTTCCTATTATGTTCTGAGCAACTCCATGCTAAAGAGATAATAAGGTACTGCAGTATTGAAAAAGGAAAAATTCTGTCCACCGTTGATTATAGAAAGCAGGTTTGAAGAGATATGCAAATAAAATGACACAGTAAGAGGCTTTGCTGAATTGGTATTCTGTGTAAGACTCAGACAGATAGTAGTGCCCCACTTTGAACTGTGCTTTAAGAAACAGTTCGTTATTTTTGCTTACTTATTTGGCAAACAGTGATTATGAACGCCCTGCACCAGCCCTGATTTCAGTGTCTGATGTTCAACAGAGAAGAGAGATTTGAACAAATAAACCATCAACTTGTCTTTGAAACAATGTTTGTAACAATGCTACACTTTGATTATCCTCCTAACCGTGCCTCTCATTGTTTCTCTTGCAG